CCACTCACCTCAGCCTCCCAAAGGTGCAGGATTACAGGCTGAGCCACCGAGCCCGGCGTCTTAGCCCCTCTTACAGAACCTTCCTGGAAACTGGCAACCTCTGTTTACATCTCGTTGGCCATCTCTGGATGCAAGAAAACTAGAAAATAAAGTGTTTTAGTTGGCCATATTGACACCCAGGCTAAGTCAGGAATTGATTACTAAAGAAGAGCAGGGCATTGACATTGTATATTACTAAGAGTCTCTGTCACAGTGACCTGGTGACTAGGGAAAGATGACAACTGGAGGATTATCAATATATGTATAATCTGAATCAACACCTCTGACTTTTAAAAAAAGTCCCTTTTTAGAATAGTTTTAGATTCATAGAAAAATGGAGCAGATATTTTATTTTATTTTATTATTTTTTTTAGTTGGAGTCTCACTCTGTCGCCCAGACTGGAGTTCAGTGGTCGCTTCCGGCCTCCGCAGCCTCAACCTGCTGGGCTCCGGCGATCCTTCCGCCTCAGCCTTCCAAGTAGCTGGAACTACAGGCATGCGCTACCATGCCCGGCTAATTTTTGATTTATTGTAGAGATGAGGTCTCGCCAAGTTGCCCAGGTGGGTCTTGAACCCGCGGGCTCAGGCAATCCCCTCACCTCAGCCTCCCAAAGGCACAGGATTACAGGCTGAGCCACTGAGCCGGATTTGGAGCAGATATTTTAGAGAGTTTTTATATACTCCAGCTCCTCCACTTGGTCATGGTATATAATTCTTTTTATATGTTGTTGGATTTGACTTGCCAATATTTTTTATTTAGAAACATTTAAAATTTTACCTTCATTTATGACATTTTTCTCCCATCAAAGTGCTAACCAGGACTACTTAGCTTCCAAGATCAGACAAGATGGGGCCCATTCAGGGTGGTATGGCCATAGACCATTTATGACATTTTATTTTATTTATTAATTTTTAAAATTTTAAAGATGTGGGGTACAATTCAGGGATAGGTATACAAATGGTCATTGTAAGGTAAAGTTTGGACCTCACTTTTTTGTTATGTATATACAAGTTTTGTACCATCTCATTTTACATTTTTTTTTTTTTTTTTGAGTTGGAGTCTCACTCTGACACCCAGGCTGGAGTGCAGTGGCATGCTCACGGTCACTGTAGCCTCGACTTGCTGAGCTCAGGCAATTCTTTCCCCTCAGTCTTCCAAGTAGTAGACCTACAGGTGTGTGCTACCATGCCTTGCTTATTTTTTTATTTATTGTAGAGACGAAGTCTCACCTCTTGCCTCAGCCTCCCAAAGTGCTGGGATTACAGGCTTGAGCTACTGTGCTTGGCCATTTTCCAGTTTTCTAAAGAACTTTTAGCATTTCTTGCAAGACAAACTTGCCATAAATTCCATTTTTGTTTGTCTGAGAAAGTCTTTATTTCTCCTTAACTTTTGAAGGATAATTTCAGTGGGTTCAGAATTCTAGGTTGGAGTGGGTTTCTTTTAATTAAAACATTAAATATTTTACCCCACTGTCTTCTTGCTTGCATGGTTTCTGAAGAAAAGTTCAATGTAATTCTAATTCTTGTTTCCCTAGAGGTAAGGCGTTTTTCCTCTGACTTCTTTTAAGATTTTCTCATTGTCTCTGATTTTTGCAGTTTGAATTGGATCTGCCTAGGTGTAGATTTTTGTTGTTGTTATTTCTTCTGCTTAGTGTTCTTCGAGATTCCTGGAACTGTGTTTTGGTGTCTATCATTAATTTGGGAAAATTCTCAGTCATTATTACGTTAAATATTTCATCCACTCTTTTCTTTTTTATCCTTCTTGTATTCCTGTTATGCCTAGTTATATGTTTTGTAATTGTTTAACAGTTCTTGTTCATTCTGTTATGTTTTTTTTCCCCATTTTTTCCTTTTGCATTTCTGCTTGGGAAGTTTCTATTCACATATCTTTAAGCTCACTGATTCTTTTCCTCAGCCATTTATAGTCTACTGATATGCTCATCAAATGAATTATTCTTTTTTTAATCAATATTTTTTATTATGGTTTTGTGGGGTACAGTTAAGGGTTAGGTGTACAATTACGTTTCATTCAGGCACCCTGT